TGACATGTGGCGAGAAAGTAATACATTACAACATGAGAAGTTGTTTATGTTTTATAAATTAAAAAATTGTTTATTACAAAGTTTAGTTTGTTGAATTTAGAGACGGGAATATTTTTACTAGAGATGTTATACGTCCAATAAAATTGATTTATCGTTATTAACTTCCAAAATTGATTTCTCGTTTTTTTTTTCTGTGCACCCATCACCCTCTCACGTGCCTGCTCCCCCCCTCCCTCCCCTCCTCGCGGGCGTTGCATCGCAAATTGTCCTAAATTTAAATTCCCCTCGTCCGTTTGTGTTTGATCAGCGGACACTGAACAAGATGTTGCTGCAGTTTTTTATGTCTGTCCTCTTTGTACCTGGTATTTTATTTTGTAAAGTTGTGCAGAGAGGGTCGACACATACGGAAGCTAGAGGGGGTAGAATTTATCTGCTAATTTAAACGACAGTATAATGTAAACTTCTTTCTACCCCCCCCCCCTCCACCTTCACCATCCAGCACTCAAGCTTTGGTTAGAATACTAATTTTCTAAATATTGAAATAGGAGCAATAAATACACGACGTTTGATTGGCATTTATTAACAGAGGTAATGAGTCTTAATAACTGTCTATTAGCGCTGAGATTACTATCACATGAAGACCTATCAAAAACCGATTACTTACCCATAAGAAACTACCAACATAATCGATTACTGTCACATAAAGACCTACCAAAAACCGATTACTAGCGCATGACAACTTACCAACAAAATTGATTATTTATGCGCGAGAATCTATCAAAACAACCCACTACTTGCACATCAAAGCATATTGACAACTAGACACACGCCCGAAACAGCTGTTTTGAAATTCCAGAATAAACCTGGACTACCTTATAAAACAAAGTGACCCTTTTGATCCAGGCTGCTCAGTGGGCAGATGAAGTAAATTTCACCTGTTTTCGTCATGGCCTATAGTAGAGTTCACTTGTTTCTGTGACCTCGGCATGGGAAGAGATAGTGTGGTCAGAACTATGCGCTACCACCTTTACTTTCCGTAACGTTAGTCAGGTACCCATCAGAGCTGAGTGGACTCAGGGCGTCCTACGGAATCCAGCCCGGATCTAACTCGAAACTTCTGGGTAACCAGTTGTGCGCTCTTATAAAACGAAGAAACCTGTTACTCTAATGACAACCCTATAAAGTACACGTGACCCGTCAACCCATTGGCAGCAACCCGAAATAATTCCCTATTTGTTTTTTTTTTAACCTGGGAACCCACTGGGACTTTTTTTTTTACCTAGGGACCCACCGTGATTTCTTTTTTCTTACCTAGGAACCCGCCGTGATTTTTTTTTTTTAACTAGGGACCCACCGTGATCTTTTTAAAACCTAGGGGCCCACCGTGATTTTTTTTTACCTAGGGACCCACCGTGATTTTTGTTTTGCCTAGGGGCCCACCGTGATGTTTTTTTTTTTTTTACCTAGGGCCCCGCCGTGATTTTTTTTTTACCTAGGAACCCACCGTGATGTTTTTTTTTTACCTAGGAACCCACCGTGATGTTTTTTTTTTTACCTAGGAACCCACCGTGATGTTTTTTTTTTACCTAGGAACCCACCGTGATGTTTTTTTTTTTACCTAGGAACCCACCGTGATGTTTTTTTTTTTTTACCTAGGAACCCACCGTGATGTTTTTTTTTTACCTAGGAACCCACCGTGATGTTTTTTTTTTTTTACCTAGGAACCCACCGTGATGTTTTTTTTTACCTAGGGGCCCACCGTGATGTTTTTTTTTTACCTAGGAACCCACCGTGATGTTTTTTTTTTTTTACCTAGGAACCCACCGTGATTTTTTTTTTACCTAGGAACAGACCGGGATTTTTTTTCCACCTAGGGATACACCGGGATTTTTCCCGATAGACCAATCCACCCCTGTAACCAACAAAGTGATTATCATTAACAACATAAGTAAAGCCCACAATACAGCAAGAAAAATATTGTGGAAGATATTACTCTCAGAGACAAACCATGGTGTTAAATCAAATAAAAATAATTTAGAGTTGAGGTCTAGGGACTTTCCTTTACCAGACATAGCCGTCCATTATCTGCTGAGAAAACTGTAAAAATATTCTATCTTAGGTTCCTAACGAACGTCTTGTTGAAATTCTATAAAAACTGAGTTTTATAAAAAGTAAATTTAACGATTTTTAAATGTAAATCGAAGATTTAATTTCCAACACCAAGAGTCGTGCGACCTGGGGGCGACACTATCGGGCTGATCTTTCTGTTGCTGAGGTAATGTCCGGATTACCTTTATTGACTCGGACATTTGGACGGTCAAGTGAATCAAGCGGAGACTATTTCCGGATTTGGCCCCGCCCTTGACGACGTGTCCGGTCCGGGCGGACGACGTAATGCCGGGCATCGGTCTAAGAGCTGGTCATCAGACTTAAGCTCGAGGCTGGCTCCGACAGGGATGACTGGGGGGTCAGCCTCGGCTCCAGGCGATTAGGGGGTCGTGTTTGTGGAGAGGTTCGAGGGTGTACGGGTAGTGGGGTGGGGGGGGGGGTGGATGGGGGTGAGGACGAGGATTGCGTGTCGAAGAGCGTGTGTATGTATGGGGGGGGGTTCGCAGCTTTCCCGTATAAATGTATGTGTGTGTGCGTGTGCGCGTGTGTGTGTGGAGTTGTCTGTTTCTGTGCGTGGATATACTGACTGGTATTTAAAAAAATTGTCTAGCTTAGTCTCGACAGCAATGTCCATGGGACAGAAGGGCGGGAAGGGGGGGGGGGGGGTGAGTGCGTTTGTGTTTAGGACTGCAGAGTGTGGGAGTGTGGGTGGCAGGGTGTGCGGGAGTGTGGCGTGTAGCAGTCTGAGGTCGTGTTTTTTTGCGTGTGCGTGTAGTGGGGTGGATGCGTGGAGTTTATAACATTTCTAGTATCGTTTCGATGGCAGGTTGAATATTTGGTTTTTTTATATAAGGGACGGTGACGGGGTAACGGTGGGGAGGGAGGGGGGGGAGGGATGGATATGAACGCGTTTAGGCACTAACTTTTGCCATCAAATTATGTACAATTTGTTAAATGTTAAGTAAAAAACTATTTAAAACAAAAATTGATTAAAGTTCCACCAAAAGCATTAAGGGAAAATTTTTGGGATTTGTCCTGCCTGTGTCCCACAACGAAGGGGGGGGGGGGGTAGAATAGCGGCTAAGAGTGTATGAATTAACAAGCAAGCTAGTTTTGCTGTAGACAGGTAACATTAATAGTTTACAATAAAAAACTCCAGACCCCTGTTCAGGATTCTCTGCTTGTATTGGTCACACCTGGTACCGTATAGATCTCAATGATATTCATCGTTTGATCTCGAGTCTAAACACAACTCTTCGTACAAAAATACAACAGCTTGTTGCATGTCGTTTGAGAGCTAGGAAAGATAACCCGTGTACCATTTATATTAAGTTGGGTATACGAAGAGGTATGCGCAATATTGATACATCGACAATGTTATGGAGGAAGGGAGGAGGGGGGAGGTTAGCTGTAAATACACAATTTTAAATTAAACGAAATGAACAAACTGGGTATAGAAAAATGATAGTAGCAACATGAACATTGTTTCCTTCAGACTTTATTTCCGAAGGGGGGGGGGGCACTTGAAACTTAGTGGTAGGGGGGCACTTGAAACTTACGTGGTAGGGGGAGGGGCACTTGAAACTTACGTGGGAGAGGGGAACTAAATTTCCAAGAGTAGAGGGGGCACGAGTTAAAGTATTTGTTTTCTATATAAATTCTATTTCGTTCGGTTGGGGGCCGGGGGGGGGGGGGGGGGGGGGGACTCGAACCGATGCCTGAAAGAGACACCGAACACGAGGTAGGATGAACATTTGTACCTAGCCCTGTCCTTACGAAATCGTGGTCTAGTTGGTACAGTCTATAGCTTTATTTACACGTTTTTAACGCGCACAACGAAACCAATTAAAGATACATCGAAGACAGTATGTAAATATGATTAAAACATAGTTTGTATTCCAAAATTGTTTTTTTTGGTTGTGTTAACGCTTTAAAAACAGTTTTGGTATATTTTTTGTTTTGCTTTAGTCTCAATTAAAGACACTACTTTTATTTATTTGTGACTTGTTATAGAATATGTATTTAAACTATATAGACACATTGTGAGCTGTACTAGATAATAAAATTGTTTTCACATTAAAAAATAAATTAATATTTTTTCGATTATAAAAACAAAACTACCGTATTTTCGGACAATAAGACGCGCTGTATTAAATCTCATAACGTGGGTGGTAAAAGGTTCGCCTCTTATAGAAAATTATGGAACATTATTTTCTTACTTTTCTCCTTAAAAACTAAGCTGTGTCTTTTAGTTCACTGTGTCATACATAGAGAAATACGAGGTAAAGACTTCTTCAAGACACGAATGTTAAGAAATATACATTAGAGCATCACGAGTTAGATCACTTTGAGAATTTTTTTAAACGGGGACATTCAAATAACATGGCTCATCCATTTTGTTAATCTATTGAAAACTGTAGTTTCACTTAACAAATGAAAGTCGATCTTTTGTCTAGATTTAAAAAAAAAATGTAGTGAACAATGCTGAACAAATATGTTGTTGGTTTTTTTCAAGAAAATTCGAAGCACAGTTTTTAATGTAATTGGACGGGTGATATTGAGAACATAGGTATGGGTTGCAGAATTTAGTCGTCATATTGCAAACACAATAGTTACAGACAGAGATTATGGAAACAGGACAGGCAAAATATTTACAGACATTACGCAAACAGGGCAGGCAAAATATTTACAGACATAAACGCTACAGATAAAAACCTATTCCAAATGCATTAATAAGTTTAATCCAGACCTACTATTAACAACAATATAAAATGCATTCAGTAATTTAAACCGAGAACAGAACGAACTCTTTAAAAAATCAGCAGACACGAAATTTAAAAAAAAAAAAATCAACGCGACATTTGAAATGTATAAAGACTTGAAATACTCACGTTAGCCTTGACTACGGCGAAGCAGACGATCAGACAAAACAGGAAGCGGGCAACAGCTTTCAGTGACGTCATTTTTCAGTTCTGGACACCTGCCTTCACGGCACCGCTCGAGAGAACACTTGATTAATCTAAGCTAACTCGTTAATTAATTAGTCTTTTCTATGAACAGTTCTTCAGCTTTTAAATTCTTCTTTCTTTGAGATGCAGCTTGTACGAGGACGTAGAACTTAATTTACTTTGGGTGACATCTTTAACTTCTAAAAGTTTCAGTCTTTGAAGTCCTCTTCCTTGTTCCACAACGACGATTGCAACGCACCTTTTATAACTAGCGCGCGATGCTCCACTCGCGTTATGGCGGCCAATGCAAGCGCCATCTAGCGGCGACAGAAGGGGAGAG